TGCATATGGTCACATTGCTCATGGGAAATAGAATTGGAATCCAAACTCGGGCAGTTTTATCCAGAGACAGGACTTGGCCCTTCCACAGCTAAATCTAGCTGCTTCCTTGTAGGTCCTCATTTAGGAGGTAAGAGAACATCTTCCCATAACTAAGAGGCTGTGGGCCACTATTTAGTGAGTACTGCCTCCGTGTAGACTACTAGAACTCATAAACTCAAGAAACAAAATACTTCCACAAAATACTGAGGAAGAGAATGGAACTTAATTTATGATAAAGAGCATATGTTTGCTGGTGGCCTGAAAGGACCAGAAGGACAGACGGTCTTTATTTTGGTGGACAAAAATTATTGTTATCTCCTCAAAGCCTTGAAGCTGCCGGCTAGGGTGGAAGTACCAGCCGGCCAATCTCTAGGACTAATGATAAGGAGGCATAATTGTTTCTTCCCACTTCTGACCAATAAAATGATTCCAGGAAACCATGAGGAGTTTTCTTTTTTTTTTTTTAAAGATTTTATTTTATTTTAAATTTTTATTTATTTATGATAGTCACAGAGAGAGAGAGAGAGGCAGAGACACAGGCAGAGGGAGAAGCAGGCTCCATTCACTGGGAGCCCGACGTGGGATTCGATCCCGGGTCTCCAGGATCACGCCCTGGGCCAAAGGCAGGCGCCAAACCGCTGCGCCTCCCAGGGATCCCCATGAGGAGTTTTCAACAGAGGCTGCCACTTTATGGTCAGTGGCTTGGGAACCTCAAGAATGATGTAATAACCTTAGGGAAATTGAGATTTGAGAAATAATTAATGTGTTTAATGGATTAAATTACACCATCTACACTATCTATCATCTATCTATCTATCTATCTATCATCATCTATCTATCTATCTACCTAGATAAGTGAAAAATAAATCTTGACCCCTGACCTCACACCATACTAAAAAAGCAATTCTGGATGGATTATAGAACTAAATGTAAAAGGAAAAACAATAAAGTTCCTAGAAAATAACAGGGAAATATCTTTGAAGTAGAAAATTATTTCTGAAACAAGGCATAGAAAATATTAACAATAAAGGAAACATATTGGTGTATTAAACATTGATAAAAGTAAGAGTTTCTGTCATTCAAAGACACCATGAAGAGAATAAAAAGGCAAGCCACAAGACAGAAGAACATATTTGCAATGCATTGAACTCAAAAATGATACAGAGCGAGAAGTTTTTAAAAACTTCTAAAAATCTATAAGAAATAAAGCAGACAATCTAATAGAAAATGCAGAAAAGACTGGAACAGGGTTGTACCAAAGAAGATACTCAAAAGGCCAGTAAATATTACTATCCATCAGGGACACACATAGGTGATTTCACGACACTTTTACTAGAATGGCTAAAATTAAGAGCCTGACAATATGAAGAGCTGACAAAGATACAAAATAACACATACTGCAAGTAGAAATGTAAATTGGTATAATCACTGCAGACAACGGTTTGGCAGGATCTCCTAAAACAGGACATGTGTATATTACCTGCCAGATGATTTCATTCCTGCATATAAATGCAACAGAAAGGCTTTCGTATGTGTACAAAAGACTTTTCTTAGCAGCTTTATCTATAACAGCCAAAAACTGACCATCAACATGAAAGTGGAGAGATGAACTGTGGGTGTGATCGTACAATGTATACTGTAGAGCAGCAGAAAGGAATGTATTACCAATACATGCAACAGGATAAATGAATCTCATAAATGTAATGCTAAGCAGGAGAAGCTAGACACACAAAAAATATACTGTAAGATTATATTTATATGAAGTTCACAGACAGGCAAGATTCGCTGGCCGTCACGGTAACAGAAATCAAGATGGGGGTATGCAGCATAATCTCACCCACCCTGACTGGGACATTACCAAAAATGACACCTTCTCCCTGATGTTCTCCTTCTGCAATGACAAAGGAATATTGTTTATGTTTCTACTTAAAATTCATATCATTCTGCCTTTCTTAATAATTAGCTTTCTTGTTAAATGTCTGCTTTCTTCTTCTATCATCAACTACATTTTCATCATACACTTATATATATATTATCTCATTTCAATAAATGTACTCAGATAGTGATAAAACAAGGTTGAGATTATTTAAGGATACTCCCAATAAATGTCTAAAAAGAATCTTTTACTGTAGTGTAGCATACGTAGAAAAAAATGCACAGATCAGACAGACCAATTAATTTTCACAAAGTGAACAATCCCATATAATGAACACAGATCAAGAAATAGCACTTTTTTTAGCACTCCGGTTATGACCTCTGCAAACTCCAAATTACAAACTATTATGGTCATTTCTCAAAAGCAGGATGGGGTCTCCTACCCCAAATTTGGTTCAGATGTCAAGTCTAATAATACCACACACATAGCAAGATGATATGAGAAGACTTGTCACATAGTGAGGCTTTCTGGGGGAGTAGGGAAGTTTTCCCAAACTGATCTGAAAATGGCTTGAGTGAACCAGAAAAGGAGACTAGCCCGAGATTTTAATAATAGTTAGAAGGTGGGCCAGAGGGAGTGTTCCTTCATGCAAGAAGGGGCTTGCATGGTCTGAACTTCCACCAAAGAGAGGCGCACCCAGGTTTTTTATCAGCTTGTACAGATGTGGGACCAAAGGGAAGAGGGAGGGGTGAGGTTTAAAAGATGTCAGCAGTTCGGCATCAAAAAATGGAGTCAGACCTTTTATTATGTGAAGACAACCTGCATTTATTTCTTGCTCATGTTACTTGTCCATCATGGTGCAAGGGGAAGCTTTGGTCCATGACATCTTAATGCTAGACTGTCAGAGTAACCGTCATCTGGACGTTGCCAACCACTTTAGTGAAAAAAAGAAAAAAGAAAAAAGAAGAAAGAAAAAAATACCCCACCTCACATTAAATGATAGAGCTTCCGTCCAGAAGTGTCATGTGTCCCTGTACTATATTTCACGGGCCAAAGTGAGTCACGTGACTCTGCCGGATGCAGAGGGGTAAGAAGATTGCAATCCACCATGTATTTAGCAGGGGGAGAACCAAAAATAGTTGATGGACCATGCTGCTATCTACCACCAGTGGATCTTAAAGATGAGTGGAGTATTGACAGGTAATGAAGGAAGACTGTTGAAACGGAGGAAATAAGATGAGCAGAGGTGTGGAGGCTCAACACCTCCACAGGTGTGGTGTGGCTCAACCAGAGAAGGTCTGAAATGAGTATATGGGAGATAAGGTTAGAAAGAAGGGTTGAGTTTAGTAATAGAAAGTCTTGAAAATGAAGTATTTTGGATTTAGAGCATGGGATGTAATGAGCAATTTTGAGAGTAGTGAACATGTATTTTTTAGCAAGATGGCTTAGATAAAATAAATAAGAAATTGGGATATTATTGTGACAGTCAGGGAAGAGTGGATGAAGCTCTGAACCAGAACAGTGGCAGCTGCCACAGAAAAGCGCAGACTGGGGTCTTTGGAGGTCCAACTGGATTTGAAGCAAAAATGAATAGTGAAAGTTATTCCATTTTCTTTTACTCTGGATGCCTGGGAGAATGGTGGTGACATTTCCTAGGGCACAGAGGACAACATGGAGTAAATTAATACATTTGCTTCTGAAAATACTGAGTTTCTGATGATGGAAGGACATTGCTATAGGCTGAATGTTTGTGTCCTCTCCCAAATTCATACGCTGGAATTCTAATGCCCAGGGTGATGGTGTTTGGAGGTGGGAGTCTTTGGGAGGTGGTTAGGTCATGAGAGTGAAACTCTCATGAATGAAGATTAGCATCCTTATGGAGGAGACCTCAGGGGGTGCCTTTACCCCTTCTGCTACCAGCAAGCGGGTCTTTGCCAGACGCCGAATCCGCTGGTGCCTTGATCTTGGACTTCGTGGCCTCTAGAACTATTACTTCGAGCCCCCATGCCCCGGTCTTCTGTCACAGTAGCCCGGACACACTAAGACAGACATCAAAGTGTAAAGGGGCACCAAAAACTTTTTGTCCGACACCCAAGAAGAGGCAGAGGATGAAATTTAGAGATCCTAAAGTCAACATCAAACAGCAGAAGTTTGGGCCATGCAACTGAACGAAGGTGCCCCCAGTGAGAGACTCTAAAGTCAGAAGGAAAGAAGACCGAGGCCTGAACCTTGGCCAATATGTATGTTTAGGGAGGTTGCTGCACATGAGCAGAGGCCGGGAGAGAAAAGCAAGAAGAATCTATCATGAGAAAAAGAAGGAGGCCAAGCTGCAGGATGGAGGGAGCCAAGAAAAGGGGGGTTGGCTCAGGGAGTCTAATGCTGCCAGGAGGACGAGCCCAGGAGACAAAAAGATGCCATTGGATTTGGCCCTTGAGAGGTGACGAGTGGTGGCAGGAAAACCATTTCAGTAGAGAAGTGAGGTGGGACGGCAGGAGGGTCGTGCAGGAAAGGGGAACGGGCAAGCACAGTCGAGTCAGGCATTGGAAAGGGGGCGATGTATGGGCACCCAGCTTCGGGGAAGGCAGGGTTTCTGGAAGGCTGAGCTGGGCCGCATGGCCCACCAGCGTCGTCACTGTCTGTGAAGCAGAGGTTGGGCTGGACGGCCAAGCGTGCTGGACCCCAGCTCCGGCCTGGGGCGAGTTCCAAAACGCGTCCTCAGGCTCCCCCAGGTGTGGCCGAGGGGGAGGCCACACAGGTGGGCACAGGCCTGGGGGGCCAGCGGGCATCGGGCCCGGCCTGGGTCCCGAGAGCCCCGGAATCGGCCTCCGGGATGCGGGCCCACCTGCGACAGGTGCCAAGCGGCACCGAGGGTGACGGGAAGAGCCAGGGCCTGGAGCTGGGAGCCTCGATTGCCCCCCTTGCAGCTGCCCCTGCGGCCCCCCATGTGCAAGCGGCCTGATTCCACTTTGGGTTAAATCGAGGTGACTCGTGCCCCGACCTTGGCCACCGAGAGCCTCGAGCACCAGCATCACCTCCTCAGGCGCCCTGTGCATCTGTCCCGGGGGTTTCCAGGGGCTGACACGGGCTAGAATCTGTGAAGCTGCGACGAGGGGACATTCTGAGCAACACTGCACGCGACGCTCTCTTCCCTTGGAGTTTTCACGGGGTTCGCTGCAGGGACACAAAAAAGGTAAGAAGAGGAGCATGATTCGCTTTTGAGCCATCCGTGTACACGATTCGCCTTGAGCTACGGTTCGTGGAGGGCACACGCGCCGGGTTGGTCCGCTGTTTTCCTCGGTGTCTCTTAAAAACATAATGACATCATCGCTACGAAAGGCTGATTAGCGTCTGTGATGTTTTTCAGGGGAAAATGTCTCCATCCTTCTCAGGTTTAGCGGCAGAGTCCCAAAATCTAGAAGAATCTCTTCCCCTGCATGAGCCGCTCTTCCTTATTTGCTTTTCGGATTCGTGCCCAGCTGACATCAGATACAGACCCTCTCCCTCTGTGCTATTGGGAGGCATCAGTCTGCAGCGCCAAATACCCAAACTCTGTCCTGGACAGTAGCCTTAACGAAGTGGCCCTGGGGCCAAGACATGAGGAATTCTTCCTCCACTTGAAGAATTAAAAAAAAAAAAAAAAAAGGAAAAAAGAAAAAGAATCTAACTTTCAAAAGGAACAGGAAGCAGCTTGTCCCTAATCAATCACCAGCAAGCAAGCGTCTGCGGAGGAAAAGGTGGATATTCAGAGGCGGCATTTTTCTTTCAGCAGAAAAGCTCTTTCGGTGAATTTGGACCTGACGGCCTTGAAAACGGAGGCAGTAAGAGTTCGAGTGCCACGGACTTGAGAAGAGACGTTATTGTGTTTTGGATTCTCGAACAGGCCTCTTCCTCTAACTGGGAGGTGGCCGCACTCAAATGTCCAAATCGGCCGCAGCGTGGGTGAGCTCCGTGCGTAGGAGGCCACAGTTTGCTTTTTGTTGATACATCAAGGAGTTTGGCTAATCCGTGAATCATCAGTGGGAAGAAAGCAACCGTGGGGGCAAAATCACGACGTGACAAAGAGTTGTTCTCTGGACCTGCATATGACTGAACAGAAATTTTTCCAATGCATTATCATATATTAGAAAGAAAAAGGCAATGGCCTGGGGGTCAGAGGATTAGTTCCCACATAGGCCACGTTACTGCTGCCGATTTAGAAACAGGGTTAAACAAGTTAATGTCTCTGGGTCTTGGTCTCCTCCATGGGGGGGTGGGGGGGGAGATTGGGGAGGATTCCACTGAGACTTTGGTTGATGTGCCAGCCACCGCTGCTATTAACAAATCATTCCAAATTGGCATAAACCAAAAGCCACTTTATTGTCCAGAAGATTCTATGAGTTAGATATTCAGGCTGGGCTCAGCTGGACAATTCCTTTGCTTCTTGAGGCAATTACTAAGACCACTCAAAGGCACTCAGCTGGCAGATGAGATGGTCTCAAGGGTTCAAGACGACTTGGCTCATCTTTTTTTTGGCAGAGCTGAGCTCAGTCTGTCGACTAGAAGGTCCAGAAAGATGGCTCCTTGGGCCTGGTGGTCTCGAGGTGGCCACACTTTTTTGCACGGTAGCTGGCTTCTCCCAGAGCGAGCGTAGTAAGAGAACCAAGTAGTTTCCAATCTAACCTCAGAAATCACGCACCATCATCTTCACTGCTTTCTGCAAGGCTGCTCAAGTTCAAGGGCAAAGGCTATCGATCCCACTTCTCAAGGAGAGCAAAGTCAAAAGAATGTTGCAGCCGTATTTTAAAACCACCGCACCTACTTCTAGGTTCCCAGGTATTATTTCTCATTATTCTTCTCCAACAATGTGTCTATTCCCCTATTTCTTTTTTTAAAAAAAGATTTTATTTATTTATTCATGAGAGACACAGAGTGAGAGAGAGAGAGAGAGAGAGAGAGAGAGCAGAGACACAGGCAGAGGGAGAAGCAGGCTCCATGCAGGGAGCCCAATGTGGGACTTGATCCCAGGACCCTGGGATCACGCCTTGAGCCGAAGGCAGATGCTCAACCCCTGAGCCACCCAGGGATCCCTATTCCCAAGTTTCTTTGTTTCCTCCTTTCTTTCTTTCTTTTCTTTCTTTCTTTCTTTCTTTCTTTCTTTCTTTCTTTCTTTCCTTCCTTCCTTCCTTCCTTCCTTCCTTCCTTCCTTCCTTCTATTCATTCATCAAACATTTCAGTCCCTCGGGGTCACCTATATTGAGTAGCCTACAGAAAAATCGAAGACAAACGCATAACCCTTGCCTTCATGGAGCTTACAGCCCACTGAGGGACTCACACATAAATCAAATGAAGGCAAGTGTGCAATTACAAACCCTGTGAAGGACTGTGAAGGAAAAGGTACGAGGATCTCTGTGGCTCCACAGCAGGGAGACGTGGTTCAACCAGGGCGCAGGGAGGCTGTCCTGAGGAAGAAATGCTCACTTTGATATCTAAAGAATGTGTTGGACTTGGCTAGGTGAAGAGCATCCATACATCCCACACAAGACTTCTTCTTGTTGCCCTGTAGCCCCTGAATCTCCGAATTAGAAGACTCTTTTTTTCTACCCTGCTTAATTCCTCTTCAGCAGTAGCTCATTACAGAAGTTTCATGTTTGATATCGAGCATTGTCCAGGCCCCTGTTTGTTCGTACCCTTACGAGCCTCTCCTGACTCCCTGCTGTTAGCTGCATAGGATCAGCAGGTTTAAGATTGTGGCATCGGAGGACTTCCATGTGCCGGCTCCATCCTAAATTCCTGGCCTCGCCTCACCCTATTCTCTTTGGATAGCATGCTCCAGCCATACCAGGCTACTTGCTATTCCCAGCACATACATTAATTTTCATGCCTCTGTTCTCACTGAATTCTCTTTCTGAGATGACCTTCCCCTTTGTCTCCACCATTAAAATGCTTTTCATCTTCCCTGCTCCAGGGCCATCTCCACTAGGAGGCTTTCCTAACCTCTGGGCTTGTAATTACTCTGTCCTGGAAGTGTTCTCTAGCCCTTCACTGATGCTTCCTTTCCATGCTGCTTTGTTAGCTGTTTCCTCTAAATTGCCACTACATTTTAAGATCCTTGAAGACAGGAATCATTAGGAAATCATGCCTCTGTCCTCCAAAATGCCTATCACTGTGCTTTTGCCATAGTAAGCACTCAGTAATTGTTTGCAGAATGAATGAATAAATGAATGAATGAGTATCCTTTTAATTAGATGATAAGGGTATAAAGTGCATAAAGGGTATAAATGATCTTTGTTATCATTTTTGGTCGGCATTTAGCATAGGGGATAGTACTCAATATTGATATTTCACTATAAATGAATGTGTAGCTTTCATACGGACGTATTTCAAATATCACTGAATCTATTAAAATGTTCTGCACACCATGCTGGTTACATCTTCAGGCGCTTCTGCTGGATCGTAAGTTCTCCGGGGCAGAAATTGTGTCTTCCCTTTATTTGTGTCTGTTATGCTCTCAGATGTTTGTTTTATATATAAATCACGGATATGAAATAAAAATGTTTATAAACCTCTTCCTAAGTTCACAAGTTATCCCGATTCTTTTCACATTTATTCTAGACAGACTGCTGTGCTAATAGGTGACCGTGGGCACGATGATACGTGCCCAGTAAGACTCGGTGTGAACAGCTTGCCTTGGGTTGGGATATGCTACGAAGGAAATGACTATCCTGAAAAGCGACCACATCCAGTAAGTCTTTGCCGTGGCTCAATAATCCTCCGGTAGGTCTCAAGCTTGTCTTGCAGTGTTGCCATCACACCCGTGTCACCACCGTACTTGTTTGCATATTGCTTTTTATTAGTTCCGAAGAGGATGATAATGGTGACTCTCTGGGCGGGGAGGTGGAGCCAAAGGGCTGGACGGAGAACCGGGCCATAGGGGGCCGGGTGATGAGAGCGAGAAGGGGCTAGAAAACTGGGAAGTCCAGCTCCTTTCTTCTGCAGAGCGGGGAAGCTGAAACTCAAGTTCGCACCCTTGCCTATGTACTCCACTGTGCTCAGTTTTGGGGAGTCTGACATAAAAAAAGAAGACTTCTTGGATTAAGCATATTGACTGTGTTTTCCTCGAGGGTCTTTTCCAAGGCGCACTGTTCCGGAACACACCTGTTGGGGCCCGGTCAGAGCTTAGTCAGCACACACTTATTTATACCACAGATGACATCATCCATCCATCCATCTCGGAAGCCGCAGTGCTCACCCCCGTTGGCTGTCAGCGGTTTCTAAGATGTCCCCTGATTTCATTGACCTCTGTGTGTCCTGGAGCCTTGACCTCTAAGGCTCCCTGGTGCCAGAATGTCTGCAGCTGTAGGATCAAAGACCCTCAGGGGAAAAATCCACTCCTAACTGAGATGAAATGGAGTGAGTTATTAGGAAAACTAGCTATATGTCCCAGAACCCTGGCTCATCTGGCAAATGCTTGAACTGTATCCCAAATATAAACACGAAGCCCTAAGACCTAAACACAGCACAAGCCAGAGACAGAGTCTCCTGACGGCCAGGCCACAGCCACATTCCACCTGCCCTCCGAAACGACTGGACGTGCCTGGCACGTAATAAATACTTTCTAAATAATCTGTGAAATAAATGGATGACGGAGGTGGCACGGAATTAAAGATACAGCTCTCACAGAATTGCTAAGCGCCAAAGATCAGGCCAGAGGTTCACACATTTTATTTATTTATTTATTTATTTATTTATTTATTTATTTATTTATTTTAAAGTCACACATTTTAAAACCGTAGGTTAGAAATGGAAGTGGAGGGACACCCGGGTGGCTCAGTGGTTTGGCATCTGCCTTCGGCCCAGGGCCTGATCCCGGAGACCCGGGATCGAGTCCCACATTGGGCTCCGTGCATGGAGCCTGCTTCTCCCTGTGTCTCTGCCTCTCTCTCTGTCTGTGTCTCTCATGAATAAATAAATAAAATCTTAAAAAAAGAAAAAAAAAAAAAGAAAAGAAATGGAAGTGGAAGTCCTGAAATGGAGTCTCAGTTCTGTCTCCAGCTTCCCAGCAAGCAGAGCAAACAGGGCGAGGAGGGGGCCTCCCCTCGTTCCCACCGAGGAAGAGAACACAGCGTGGCGGGGCGCGGAGTCTTTTTCTATCTCTAAGAGAAATGAGTCCTGTGGGAAAGCTTTCTATGACAGCAAAGTGCCATTTATGTCTTGAGGACATGTGGAGATTCCTCCCTGGTTGGCAGTCCGCCTCGTTGCTTGCGGCAGTTTGGGGACACCCTTCCCAAATGGTGGTTGTCCCAAGTCTTTGCTGAAGGAGAGTTCAGTCCATTTGGGGTACCGTCCCCCGGCTGCCTGTAGCTGCTGTTTCTTCACCGTCCTTAGCCAGGACCCTCTGTTTGAAGCTGAACCTCAGAGCATTCTTAAAATATTTTCTAAGCCCTTTTTACTTACAGATGCCCTTCCTCCGCTGGTCTTGGAGAGCTGGATGCTAGGATATTTTTGCAGTCTTCTATACTTAGCATGGCTTATAATCCTTGGCCATGTTATCTCAGGCGCCCCCTTAAGAATCCCTTAACAGATAAAGTAACCCGAGTAGAATAAAATCCTTGTTGATTGATTGATCTGAGACCTGCAGTGCACTTAGCCCCATCCTGCTTTACAGCTCTCTGCCCTGGCTCCCTCTGGGCCAGTCTGTCCTCTCCATTTGGATATTTTCTCCTACTTATGGCCAAGCTCCATAGTTTTCCTCCGGTTGTTCACTGCGTCTGTTATAGCACCCATCTCCCTATCGGTGGTCATAATTGGGATCTGAGCTTATCTCCCTTGGGATATTCGCCAAACAAGGCTTGTGAGGGTTTGCACTTTTTCAATTTGCTTTTAGCCTCAGCACATATTTATTTTAGTCCCAGACTTTTAGAGCTAAAGGGTCCGTGCAATGAAGTCTGGCTCCTCCGTTTCGTAGATGAGAAAACTAAGACCAAGAAAGGTGAAATGATTGGCTTTTCAGTCCTAGGCCTGGAAAGTATTGCACCCGCATAGTCTTTGTGGGTTTGTTTCTGAATCATCTCTATTTCCTGAACTAGGAGATTTAATTTCCCAAGTCATTGCTCCTTGTCCTCTGCCAGTCACTCCGTGTATTCTTAATCAATAATAAGTGAGTGAACAAAGTGAAACAATATACCATGGTTTATTTTATATTCTACTTCAACCCAAAGGAACTAATAAAATCAACAAATAAATACAGAAAGCCATTTGGTCATTTGGTTAGTTCCTGGCAGACCTGACAACAGGGCAGACCCCCTTGTTCTATATCAGTCTTATCATTATAGCCTATTGATTACAAATACCTTTTTAAAAAAAAATCTAATTCTGACAATTCTTTCTTCTAAAACATGTGTTTTAAATACTACGATTTTAAAGAGCCATTGTAAAGGGGAGAATCTATCCACATAGGTAAGTTCCCTCTTCTAGGAGGCCTAATGGGCCACGACAGTCTTGCATGTATACCAAGCAGATTTATGGAATTCCGTCTTTGCAGAAGCTTCCACAAATAGGAGATGTGAGAAGTGTTCAGAACAAAGAAGGGGTCATCCCTAAAAAGTAGAGGAAGCTTTGATCTTTCTCCTCGCCCGGAGCAAGGTGAAAGGGTAGAGTCTTCAGCAAGTCTGAGCCGTGTATTCAGGTGAAATGACACTTGTGGCATGTGTGGGCAAGCAGAAGGCTTACTCAAATGGTGAAAAATGCAGATCCCAGATCTTGTGACTCTACAAATGTACAAAATGTGAAATAAATTCCATTTTTTCCCTCGTGAGTTTAACTCTAGGAAACAATGAGTCCTTAAAAGGGAGTGATTAGATAGTATAAGAATGCAAATTGGGCAGAGTAGTAAAACCCCAGTAATTTCGGACACTTTACATTCTATACTCTCTTCTAGGCATGTCATGCTCCCCAGATTGTAACCACTGATACTTTGAACAGACATTGGAAATAGTTACTCACTTAAGAAGACCGCATACCTCTGAGAGAACACCCAGAGGGTGATGAGGAAGAGGTGTGACAACTATGCTTGTGTTTTGAATCATCCTAAAGACATGGATTAGCCCTTCAGATGTTTGCTAATTTTTCCAGAGAAGGCATATTCGTCACTGCGTCCAGTTACCGTGTAATGATTTATAGAAGCCCTTCCCATTTTGGGGCGCTGTGTAAACCATGCCTCTAAGCCTCCCTGCCACGGATCCACTCAACCGCCACAGAAAGCTTAAATCTGTCTGGTAAACCTAGTGCAACATCTAGAAACATTGCTTCCGGCATCCAAATCCGCCATGGATACCAGGACTTCACATTTCTCAAGTCATAACTGTTTGATTCTTTTGTAGGAGAAACTTCCCCTGCTGACTCTCCTCCGCCGTAAAAGTGACTTAGTATGAATTTTGTTTTGAGATGGGCAAAGGAAGCATCGGGAAGCTGTTAGCAGATTCCACTAGCCCCCGAGAGGATCCAAGCAGGGCGACAAGCAGAAGAAAAATGACAGAAGGTTCTAAGCCTGGACTCCTCATTCTGTTGTTTATGGGGCCGCCCGGAGGTCTCTAGGAGAGGCACTGTAAGGGAATCAAGGGATCAGGGCTCAGTTGCAGGCGGCACTCCCCAGGCACCCAGGCACTTGAATTCACCTTTGGCAGGAACCCAGGAGCCGAGTTACAAGGCCACAGATGGAAAAGCTAGGACAGTTTGTTGTCCCAGGACTGGTACGAGCCCTTAAATTTTTGCCTTGATTCAGGTCTCTAAATCGATCTTAAGACCTGGAGCAGTTCTAGCTGCACGGGGAGCCCAGAGCAATGACTATCATACTGGAGGCCAGTAGTGCCATTACGGGGTTATAATCTGAGTGTAAAATTACTTGGCCAGCCTGACACCTAGCTCAGAGCCTCTACTCACCAAGCCATGTACCTCACACAGCCCGTGGGGGCTCACCGGGAGCCCTTGTTTATAAGTCCCCTCAAAAGGCCCTCTGTGTGCTGGGGTGATATTGCCAGGAGACTCCTTTGCCCAGAATTTGAAATCAGGCAGGTCCTCAGATTTGCACTTCTGTAGACTCTTCTGCAAGATGTTACACCTACAGCTACAGAGACACCCAGGATCGAAAGCAGAAGACGGATTCATCATTCAACTTAAACCTGTGTCTCTTACAAGACCATCTGTCACTGGTGGTAACACATGTGTGTGAATCAGAAAAAGGTAGACCTAGTATTGCACCAGCAAGCATGGTGTGGCAATCGGAGACTGAGCCAGAGTTTAATCCCTGCTCTTCCCTTTGACCAGCATGTACAATCATCCCTCGGGGCTCTGCCTATGTGTCGCTTTTAATAGTAGATCTAACAACTGTTCTGTAAATGGCAAAATTATGTATGTTTTGTTTGAAAGCGCTAATTGCTTGAACAGTTAAGATATTCCACAATTTTTGCAACTAAATTTTAGCATACCTTCATTTTAAACCTAGCAGGACTGTCGTAAAATCAAAGTGGCTTGTGTCTCTCCTCTCTCTCTCTCTCTCCCCCTGACCTTTGAGAAGCTCCAGCCCAGGGGCAGGAGGAAGGGAGGCAGGAGCTGGAGCGAGGGAGCCCTGACACTTCCCACTGCAGGGAACGAGGCCGCCTGTCAGCTCGAATCGTTTTCCTGTAGGAAATGTCATTGCATCAGTGCATTGTAAGAAAGTGATGTCATAGTGTGGGGCCCTGATCCGCTTCCTGACTTTTAACCTGAGTCTTGCAACCTTTTTCAGCTGTGCTGCACCCAGAGAAAATGAAACACATTGAAATGGAAAGGCCAGTGGGTCTCATAAAGACCTTTGAGGCCCCAGGGTGGGGTTCACTTCTGCACACGTATTAACGATCAAAAAGCAGTTTTGTTTGGGCGTCACATCCTGGATCTGACATGGACCTAGTACCTAGGAAAGTAAATGGAAAAGAAACAATCTTCAGGATGTGTCT